AGCTCCCACCCCACTTCTATTCACACCTTTCCTCTACGCTCTCCCTGTCACGCTCCTGAGCCACCACTGGCTCTGCTCCCACCCCAACCCACACCAGCCACCTGCCCTGTCTGGCTTTCAGTCCTTCCCTTCCACTCCAAGGCACTTTGCCAGCGTTCCCAATGACTTCCTCACAACCAGGGCTGTGAGACATCGCCCCACCTTCCATGTGCCAGCAAAGCTCAACTCGCTGGACTTCAAACATCTCCGGAAAAATCTGATGACTCTCTTTGCTCCTGGGCTTCCTCCTAACTCTCGAGCTGCACCTCCAGCCTGTTCCAAGTGTCCTCCCTTTCCATCTTTTCCAATTTTGCCAAGCAGGGAGGGGTTCACAGGCTACCTTATCCTTCTGTTTCCTTCTGATCTAGCAGGAAACCTCGTGTATCTTAGTGACTTCTTAAGTGCTTTCAGCTGTCAGTTCAATGTCTTACATGTCACTCTCTCAAATCTTTCCAATGAAAAAATTCAGCATTTAAATGCCAGTAACACCTTAAACTTGTCAGTTTTTAGCTTCACACACTCTTCAGATCTTTGCCACTATTTTATGCTAAAATATCTCCCTTTTTTCCTGAATAACACCACTACCATTCAGCTTTTCTTCCCCATTCACTTATTGATTTCTCCCAGCCTTCATGAACTCATATCTTTATAAACACCTCAATTAAAGTACTATCTTTCTATTGTTATACATCCACATTCTTTCCCCAAGATCATTTTCGTGATTGCTTTCCTTGGCCATTTTATCCTCTCTTTGCCTCCCTTACTGACTCCTCCTCACACACGTGTCCCAGTGAGGTCCTGAACCAATAAGAGATTCTTATGCACTACACAAACGAAAAAGAAATAGAAAAACTAAAACCCTTCAGAATTACATCGTTGAACAGGTGGCAAACTACACAGAAATAAACAAATCTGGGGCAAATAAACTGCGATGCATCTGAAGAGTTTCATCAAGCCTGGGGAGAGCACTAAACAAGACAAGCCAAAGGAAATCATCCTCACTAAACACAGACTGGGAGATTGGTGAAATACCAAACAAATGTGCACTAAACCCCATTCTGAGCACTGCCATATAAACAGACATCACTCCTTTATTTTCTACATGCAATCAGAATTGAAACATGGCCAGAACAAGAACTGGGAAAAGTCTTGTAAATCAAATCAAAATAATTATGGATTTATTTGTGGTAGGTTTGGGAGCAGTAGGATTGCCAGTGGGAACTGTTCAGCCATGACCCAGAGCAATGTGCAGCACTGAGGAGTGTTAGTTGGGCCCTCACCCCATAAACCTCCCAGTGATGAATTTTGGGCTGTGCTCAGACCCCCAAACTCTGAAGGCATCTGCCCCACAGATGGCAGACGAGATGCCAAGTATTAAACTCTATTAAAGGCCTCATAAAAGAAAAAATATTGATGTTAACAAGGCTCTTTCCACTGATTTGAATGGGTTTTGGATAGAGGCCTGTACAAACAAGGACGGAATTAGAAAATGGAAATATGTATATATACAAAAAAAATGTCAATCCAACTGTTTACCTTCCAAGGATGACCCAGTACCACTTGATTTATGAGTCATTTAAAGGCCAAGGAGGCAGATTGATATTTCTGTTATCTGAATCCAGTATTTGCAAATATTGATTCTCATAATATTTTTTTTTTTAAATTACAACCCATTACAACCCCACAGGCCTCAACAGGATTTCTTTCTCCATCAGTATTTCACAGGTTACAAATGTCCACATTCTCACCACCTTCAGTAATTAGCTTAAATGAACTGAGTCCATGTCATCTGTGTTGTGCTGTGTCCTTCAGACTGTTCCATTTGATTTCCACTTGGATTCAAAGCTGGGGCTGATCAGTACCAGCTGCTCAGCCAAAGGGCAGATCACACGTTCCCATTCCCCCTCTTTCTTCATCCCAGCTCCCAGCCAGACTATTGTTTGTTACTACTAATTAATCTCGCATGCCCTGGCTGCCAGTGAGCCTCACAAACCCCCAAATTTTTATATTTACTGCATGTCCAATAAATTAATTCCACTTCTGAATAGATGCATAAACACAGTGTTATAAACATATATACACAGCACACATCCTTACCCAACCAGATTTATACTTACTATTCATGGATATCTGCTTGACAACTGCTATTATTATTTCTTGCTGGCCTCTTAACATCAAAATTTGAGAAAATATAGGTATGAATTAGTATTTGGACATCTTTTTGAAAGGCCAGATTTTCAGATCTTTGTTTCAAACCAACCCCTGGTGACATGGTAATAAGCATAAGAGTCACTGCCCTGGCAGGACCTGACCCTTGCCTGCTTTTGAGTGAGAAGAAAGGAGAAATTTCAAATATTATAGCCAGAATTTTTAACACTGCAGCTCAAATAGCCTGAAAAATGCAATTTCCTGCTAAAGACCCGCTGTTTTCACTTACATCTTTAACAATTGGTGACCGTTCTTCTCAATGGGTGTTTGCCTTAGGGCTTATTATGCCTAGTGCAGTTAAAAGAGTTCAGCTGCTCCCAAGGAAATCTTAAGAATTTTCCCATATTTAAACAAGTCTAACAGGCGGCTCGGTGAGTTGATGTCACCTGCCCACGAGCTGGATCAACGAGCAGGAGTTTGGTGGAGAGGATCAGTTGTTTTGATTACCTCTGGCTATTTTTTTTTTTTTTTTTAAAGCTCATAGGCCTTAAAAACTGTTATTTCACACGGCTGGTGAAAGCTTGGAAGCTCAGCTGTGTCCAAAGGGCACAAGTCTGCTGTGGGAGGAGGGACTGAGCCCTTTCCAGCTGCTTTGGGTGGTGCATCAGGAGCCTCCACCCTTCTTCCCTTGACCTTGTGTTTGGCCACGCAGAGGGAGAGGAGGAGGCTGAGGAAGGATCTCACCTGACTGAATGCAGATATGAAATGAATGAGGTTAAGGTGGGAAGTGAAAACCTGTAAAGCCAGAGATGAACCCTGCATGTGTTAATTGGTTGGCCCACAATGTAATGTTTTCTGGGGAAGGAGCAAGTGTTTTGTTGTTTGTTTTTTTTTTAAAAACACTTTTCTAAATCCTTTATTTCCTATATAGAAAAATAAATGTGATTCCACTTCCAAAATCTAACATTCTTAGAAAATGACCAAATGAAGACCATCTGCAAGACTTCACTATGCTCCCCTAGGAGCTCAGCTCCCAGTGGGAGATAGTTTGAATATTATAATGCTGTTACTACAATGCATAAAGCAAACCAGGTTAGGAAAGGATGAGCATTCCACAGGGATGAAGGTAGTTACTGGCATGTCTGCTGCCTTCTCTGCAGCTGTGAGGTGCTCAACTTAAAGACCATCTCATTCTACCTCTTGCCATGGGCAGGGACACGACACCTTCCACCAGCCCAGGTTGCTCCAAGCCATATCCAACCTGGCCTTGGACACTTCCAGGGATGGGGCAGCCACAGCTTCTCTGGGCAACCTGTGCCAGGGCATCACCACCCTCACAGGGAAGGATTTCTTCCCAATATGCCATCTAACCCTACCTTTTGGCAGTGGGAAGCCATTCCCCCTTGTCCTGTCCCCTATCTTCCCTGCCCTCCTGATCCAGTCTGTGGAGGTGGAAAGCAGAATCTTTTTTTATCTATTAATTTATTTTTTTTTAAAGCAAAAGAATCACAATAAAAACAGTCTCAGATGACCTAATGTAGACTAAAATGACTGCACTGATGTAACCAACTTAATAAGCCAGTCCTTGAGATGGTCCAAGCAGTATCATCCAGTTGGGAAGCTGCTGCCTGGCTGCTGGCCCTGAGGGAGAGAGGGCCACGGATGTCTCGTGTCTCTCCTCCCCCACACAAGATATTTCCACTGTCCTCCCTGACTTCTGCCTTGAGCTGCACTGACAAGCCGCTCTGCCTGCCCCACAAATGGTTTTCCAGATTTTAGAAGTTCTATTTTCTTACCACTAGCTATTAGTTCAAGAGCCCCTGTCTCTGCTAATCAGATGCTAATTAATTTCTGTTGGTGTTAGCATTAAATCTTAAATATTTTGTTTGCTACCTACTAGATGTAACTGGGCAAAGTTAAAGCCACCCTACAACCCCTGATCCTCTGTCTTGCTGTACTAATGGCTCTAAATCTCAAAATTTGTGCCATATCTGGTAGGTCCTAAGTATCCCAAACCAGTAAAGGACCTACCAGATAGTCAGGGAAGACAGAGAGAAATCACTTCTTTCAGGGTGGTGCAATTAGGTCTTAATGGGAACAACTGGGTGGTAAAAACTGATCAAGTTTCTGCAAATTCTAATAATTGCATGTTTTCGCCTAATCAGGTGCAGAAAATAGAAAATGGAATTAAGGGTGGTGATTTGATGATAAGGCATTTTTGTTGCCGTTTAATGTCTTTATTTTTGCAGGTCAATAATTAAATGGAGCTTGTTAAGGCTTAGTCTTTTACAGGAAGATCTGTGTTTACATATCTTCCTCTGGAGGGCTTCAGAGTGAAATCTCAAAGAAATTCACAGGTTTATAAGTAAAATTAATTGAGTAACCTCTCAGATTAAAGTGAGAAGGGATAGAGAGGTGTCACTGTATGCAATCACCTTCTACTATGGAATCTGTCTCTGTTCTTTTGCTTAGAGAACAGCAGCTTTCACAACATACCAGTTGTCAAGTGTAATTAAGAATAATTAAGAAGGAAAAGTCCACACACTAGCCAGACTACAGCAGCGTGAATCCATTACAACTCCGAAATAATCTCTTTACTTGATAAGGAAAGCGTTAAAAAGTAGTTAAAAGTTCTGCAGATCTGTTCTGTGGGATATTAAAATTTAATGTGTTGTCATCATCATCACCACAACCACATTTATTGTTATTATTACCAAGGCTGCCATTAACTAGGTATTCATTAATGCAAAAAGTTACAGGCAACGTGAGACTCAGTGGACTCCAAAACTCTGGAGGGGGAGGCGGAAAGTTACCTGGTGGCGTTTCAAGAATCGGTTTTCCTTTTTTGTTGTTCTTCTTCGGTTTTAACTCTTTCCTGCCGGGTTTGAACCCTGGGCGCTCCTCCGTCTCTGCAGCGCGGTTGGGTCCTCCCTCTCCAGGTTGCTCCGTGAAAGGAAAAAACTCTTCGCCGGGATATGGAAAGGAATAATAATGATCCCTGTTGGTAATTTCCTGCAGGTAATAATCCTGATCGTCCATGGGTACAGCCCGGGACACGTCCCCCAGCAGTGCCAGCCCCAAGGAGCAGAGAGCGAGGCAGAGTTGAGAAGAACACGAGCCTTTCTTCCTACGGGCAGTCATCGTTTGCTCTTGCGGGAATCCCCTCTGCGAGTGCTGGAACTTTATTTGGGAAGGGGGAAAAGAGAGTTTTGTTGGCTGCCAGAGCTCCTGGAGGAGAGGCAGGGGCTGCCTGCGGGAAGCGCCTCCGCTTTGGGCGAGTTCGCAGGAGTTGCGAGGAGCGCAGCGGGACGGGGACTGGGAGGGGGCAGGACGGGATTCATGTGATCCTCGGCATCCTCAGCCAGACGGACAGACGGACAATCGCTCCGCTTCGCCGCCGTTTGCCAGGTGGGATCCCCGGCACCGTCAGCTTCGCTGCTTTCCCTCTCCTGCCTCTCAGCTTTGGATGGTTGGTGCCGCTTTCCCCCCCACCCCAAACCCAGAGTTAACAGTTTCTGCCAAAGCCCCGAAGAGTTTCCTTAAGTCTTCCCACACGCAGCTGATCCAAGAGAGGGTTTATTGGAAGAAAAGTAAACTTGGCAGCCGGCCTGCTCCTCCCAGCCCGTGTCCAAGAGGGTTTCCCTCCCGCTGGAGATGCTGTGCAGGAGGGGGTGGGCACACGGAGCCTGTGGCTGGCAGGGGTCACCTGCTGACCCCGCCACCTGGGCATGCAGGAAGATACATGGGACGTGGATTAGTGGCAAATATCCCTCACTCTATATATGTTGTGCTATATTCCCTTTTGGGGTATGGTTTCTTTTTTCTTTTGGCTTTTACAAAGTAGGATCCCTCCCCAGCACCAATCTCAGCCTCCCTTGCTTGTGTTAGTTTACATTTACATGACATCAATAATTTATATATAAATTATATTTACATTATATTATATAAATAATTTATAACAAATTAGTTTTTCGGTATAAAAACATATTTAGGTCTCTATATAACTATATCATTTTATATACCAACTTATGGTTTAAATAATATAGTTTAAATAACATAGTTTTACACAAGCTTACAGTTTGTAGTAGCTTATTTCATAATAACTTACAGTAAATTATCTGTAATATAACTTGACAAGTACCATGTGCCAAGTTATAAGAGGCTTCTCCTGGGGTATATGGAAAATCCCTGGAGTCAGTCCAGATGAAAACCAGAGAGAACATTGTTCGTCAGTGGCCCTTTTTCTCACTCTTTTTGGAATGATCCTGATATTTGTTCTCTCACAAACATCTTCCCAACAGCTTTTCCCAATGTTTTGTGCTACACACACGCAACCCAGAGTCGTTAATTAAATCAATTTGTGTGGGAGTAAAATCTTATCTTTCATCTTTTTCATACCTCTAAAATAACCTTCAGTGCTGAAGGAAATGTGCAGCAGTTGGCTTGCATGAAATATGAATTCCTACTCCTGTGTTGAAAACACCAGCTTATATTTTCATCGTGTAGATTGTATTTCTTGCCATGGTCCAGTCAGCTGGGAGAAGATATTACAACTGTTGCCCCAGTCTTTATTCTGCCTTCATGCTCACGCTTTTTGTGCGTTTCTCATAACTTTAATACCATAATAAACAACATTTTATATCTCAGTACCTGTATCTTTTGGTATATTTGGTTTCCAGACTGTGGGTGATCCTGCCCATATATACAATGGCCATCCTTGCTTTCTTAGTTGCTACCCCGAAAGGAATTTAGTGGTTATATGGTGTCTGTTGTCCTTCCTTTTAGAAAAATGCAATTCTATTTTAATCCTTAGAGGTCTTTTCCAACCTTAACCATTCTGTGATTCTGTGAATGAATCCAATTGTGCTGTATGTTCATATTGTTTAAGTGAGGTGTTGGTGGCAAAATTAGGGGCCAAATTTTGTGCCATCACGTTTCATCTCATTCTTTCGTCTCTCCCCTAATGATTTCTGAATTTGCTGACAGATAACAAGCAGCTGCATCAAAGCACTGAACATCTCCATGAAGTTTCCATGTGTTGCAGTCACCTGAAAGTCCCTGCAAGGGCCTTCTCCCCTCGTGATCTGATGAGGTGAAAGCCACCACATGGGCTTCCATATTGCTGGAAACAGCAGAAGCCATGTCCAGGTGTGCCTCCAGGGACACCTGAGCCAAAGGAGAAGCTTGCTGAGCCATTTTCTGTGAGCCATGGGGATGTGCCCACCAGGACACTCAGAGGCACTCAAGGACAGGCAGATTTTCCTGCACAACTCCACTTTGTGAGCAAGAACTTTGCAGAACATCAGGCAGTGCCATACCCACCCCTCCCTCCTGCAGTGACTGCAAATAACTCCCTCTTTTCCCTCTGTACTTACCTTAAGAAAGATTTATTCATCCAGGCACAGCTATCAATATCTATTCCTGGGTGTCAAACTCTGTCAATCACCAGGTCCCCTATATTTGTTTCACTTGAATTTTAATACTTTTTGTGGGTGTGGATGTGGGTATGGACGCAGTGCTGCCCCTTACAGCCCCACCTGTGGTTTTTAGGTGTCCATGAATACAGCCAGCAAAGTCTGTCTTTAAGCAGATTTTTTTTGTTTTACTTGGGCTTGAGATGTTTTTACTATTTTTTTTTTTTTAATCTGTCAACATTCTAGAAGGATACAACTTGAGGAAAGGAGGTGTTTTCTCTTCTTGGAGTGGCACAGGAGTATTAAGCTCACTGAAGGCTCAGATGTTTTGGGCCTGGGGGCTGTTCCTTTTGCCTGTGAAGGATCACAATAGCTTGTAAAAACTTGCAGTTGATGTGGAAGGAGATAAAGCAAACTCATATTTTTTGTAGAGCAACTGGAACCAACCTCATCCTCCCCTCCTGAACTGATGCCAGTGATGGTGTATAAGTCAGTCTACACTTTGCTTTAAATCTTTGTCCTGCTGAAGTGAAACACAACATGCTGTAATCTGCAAACAAGCAGTGTTTTCCCCTTCTGTTCCCAAGAAGGGTTTATTTTGAGCCAATTTCACAATACCCCAGGGAAAAAAAAGGCACTCTCAGCTCTTCTTCGCCCCTTGCAAATCCTGGGAGGGATTTAGAGTGGATATTAGGGGAAATTTCTTCATGGAAAGGGTGGTCAACCACTGGAATAGGCTACCCAGAACAGTAGTGGTGTCACTAGCCTTGGAGGAATTTTAAAAACCTGTAGATGAGGAACTTGGGACATGGTTTAGTGATGGGTTTGGCAGTGCAGGGTTAATGCTTGGGCTCAGTGATCTCAGAGATCTTTTCCAACTAAACAATTCTGTAAAGTTCAGATTCAGGAGTGCATTTTCACTTAAGGGGGTTAGAGTTGTATGTGTAAGCACCTTAATTTGTTCAAGACCTTAATTAGTATTCATACAACAGAGTCAGTGATCACACATTTACACTTAATTCAACTTCAGACAACTTTGTGACTCCTGCAACTTCTCTTTGGAATTTGTGCATCCTTTTTTTTTTTTTTTTATCAGAGTAAAGCTTTGTGGTTGGAAAGAAAAGACAAAGAAACAGGCACATCTCTGTTCCCTTGCCATTCCACAGGAACTTTCCGAGGTAGCACATAAGGTTTCTATATGCTTTGGCAACAAAATGACTCTAAAAATAACTTTCCTTCTGAAGACCGGTGAAGTTTCTGTTCCTTTGTACTTCGGATCTCTACTAAATCAGGAAGCACAGAACAGACAAGAAAATAGAATTACACTGTTTTAGAGTAATTTTCTTCTCCGCAGAAAACGTTTTACTCCTGCTGTCAACAAGGTCAAACCAGCTCAGAGGAAAAGGAAACCCAAAACTGACACTGGGAAATACAAAGTAAACTGAACTGAACATTTGTGTGTCTCTTTGATGCCTATTTCTTACATATATAACAGACAGGTGCTAAGTGTACCCCTCGATGGATCCCTGGGGTATCTTGGAATTTAACAGCCCATTTGCACTTGTTGATAAGGCAGATCCTTGAAAGAGTGGTTCTTACCACAAAAATAGCTGGAAACATAAACAAGGCCTCACATGGAGATGATTTACTCAGTTTTAAGATACATTGAACTTTAAAGGGAATATATTTTACCAGGTGAGGAATGCCAAATATACGTTGAATCTTAATATTTGTCCCTGAGCATATGAAATAAAGATACAAAATGTGAATTTTCCTCATGAGCAGGCTGCTGTTTCCTTTGGGCAAACAGACTTTTAAATAAACTGATGACATTGATGAAGGCAATTATTTCCTTCATCAGTTGTTTGCTTTAACTGCTTAGAAACGCAGTTGTGCATCCCAAGTGGGGAAATCATCCCAGTGCCTTCCCCCTAACTTTTCTCCTAAGAACAACATGACCTTCAGATAATCATTCAGCATATTGCCTTTGTGCTGGTGTCTGAAGAAGGAGCTCAGATTGCCATGGAAACAAAAGTTCCTTGTTCTCTCATACTTCCCTGTGCTATGATAACACTTTCACTGTATGAACCCTTCTCGTAGCCAGAAGGGGAATTGTGGGATTTTCGTGTTTTGAGCACCTCAAAGTGATGGGTCGGTTCATGACAGAAATACTTTGGATGTCAAGCAGAGACTGCACCCATCACCATTTTTATTTGGGGATATTTAGACCAGATCCATCTGCATCAGTCCATTTCTGCTGAAAAAATGAAAATTCTCTGTGTACACTTGCCAGATTCTCCTTTACTTTTTCCTTCTGTGCTGAACACACGAGAAGAAACAGCATTTCAAGAAAGACAAAGTTAACTTGTGACATAAACAAAGCCAAAAAGCGTTTCTGACATTTTTGCAAAGAATGTAATAGGTTGGTTTCTTGGATTTTTTTTTTTTTTTTTTGTGATGGGAACTACATCTCTTCATACCCCAGAATGACTGTAGATTTTATGTTGACAACACATTGCCCTGGCATTTGGCAGCCACTGCTGGACCAAAGCCAGAAGGATTATCACTAGACTTGAGAGGCTGCCTTGTGATTAAAAATTCTGTAATACTAGCAGTACAAAAGGAGAACTAATATTATTTTTTCTAATGCTATTTAGCTTTGGTGCTTCATCAGCATTGGAAGGGCTGTAGGTCTGTGTTAGTCAGTGGTTCAGATTTCTTTGCGTTGTTTAAAAATGAGCAAATTTAATGTGCATTTTATTTTAACTGTAAAACTGGGACAGCATTAAGACAAGAGGGATGACTGGAGGACAGTAGATATTGTGGAACAGTTGGAGAAAATGGGATGAAATGCCCCTGCTGTGCACTCAGCCAGGACTGCGGGTGACGCGTGTCTGGAACGGCCCTTTTTTGGTTTTCTCGTACGAAAACAGCCACTTCCAGCAAATTCCCATGGACATCACCTACCTGCCAACATTCGAATTTCAAAAAAGTAATGGCTCTCACATTTCAGTCTGGTATTTCCTGGACTGAAATTGCCGTACATG